CATATTATCATTCAAACTACAAACAACAACAAACGTAAAATTCAAACAACTAAATCATGAAAACATAAAAATGTAATGTATAAATCATAAATTCACTCAAACACATAAACAAATAATCACAAACTACAACAACAGTTCAATTTCAATAACAATCTAGTTGAGACATTCAATTTAAATAACGTGATTGAGATCCCCAAAAATAATCACATATTCAAAAACACATACAAAGAACACTTACCTCAAATATATAAAAAACACTTTAAATCTCGAATTCAATCGAAGAGAAACATCAACCACCACAAATGAGATACAATATACGTGTTTTCATCACTCGTTGTGATCAAAATGTACCTTGAGAGAGGAGTTGGTATGATCGTTGTCGCTATCATCACTCGAAAACACTCGCATGTGGAAGGAAAAAAGAAGCCCTAGAACGATAAAAACGCGACTTATACGTCGGACCTCGGGTGCGAATGTAAAAGCCACTTTTTATGTCGGTTAGGGAGCCACCAGACGTAAAAAGTAGCTTTACATCAGCCTCTAAGAGGTCCAATAAAAAATAACGTCCTTTATTTACAAAAATATCACCAACTTTTTTTTTTAAGTCGATTATTTTTTTGTCTAATGATAATTGGATGATGTAAAAAACGTATTTTGCATTAGTAGTATATGGGTCAACCTGTCAAACCTATTCAATTTTGTCATACCTAATTCAATTACACATAGAATTAAAATTATCAAAACGGACAGTTTAGTCCCAGTCTGGTCTATATTTTAAAATGAACAAATTCTAACTTAACCTGACTCTATGTTAAGCCAATGAAATAACGAGTCAATTTTGACAAGATTGATTTTTTTTTAAATATTAATATATTTATACAAAAACATTTAATTAAAAAATATTTAAATAAAATAAAAATTTAAAATATATTTTAAAAATTAAAATTTTATTGATGAAATTAGTTTTTATTTAAGATATAATAATTTAATATATAAATTATAAGAGAATATATCTATTCAATCTTAAATAAGAATTACAAACTTGCTCTTTATGATCATTATTTATTTTTAATAATTTATTAATTTAAAATAATAATTAATCTTAATCATTAGATATTAAAATAAATAATTATTTGATATTTATTTGTAGAATATGTGAATCCTTGTCAAAATAATTTATTATATATATATATATATATATAAACTAAAATAATATTATTTTTTTATTAAAAAATTTATTATTATTTTATAAAATAATTAATTTAAACTCATATATGTTATGATTAAAATAGGTCTGGTCCAGTTTAAACTATAAATTTTTAATCTATTTTTACAACATAGACCAAACCTATTTTTACATCATCCAATTAATGATTTAAGATACCCCATTATAAATAATCCTAAATAAGTATATTATTAATTAAATCGATTCTAATAAAATTAAAAATTATTTTGTTAATATAATTTATCCCTATTTTAGCTAATAAATAAATAAATATTAGGATAATAGACATTATTTTGCTCACAATTATTGTTTTATAATTACATAGGTAGGATAATAGATATTATTAAATATTGATTATTTTAGAAAAAAAAACATCATTACATTAATTAGGTTAGAACTTATTTTAATTAAATTAGTTTCTGAATCAAAATTTCAATTGGCTTCTAACCTTAACTATTATAATTAGAATTTAATTTGTATTTCATTACTAAAATATTGTAACTAAAAATAAAAATATATTTTATTTGTTTGATATTTTTTATAATAAAATCATGTTTTTTTAATATATTACAAAGTATTATATTACTATCGTTAAAAATTGTAATATAATAATAATTATGAGAATTTTAATAAGTTATAATTATTCTTTTAAAACAACTTTGTAAATTATTGAATAAAAATTAAATTTAATAAAGATAGTTACCTTATTTGTACTAAATAATAAATATATCACCTAATTAAATTATATTACTAAAAGCAACATAATTATCTTAAATTAAAATATTCGTTAATATTTTTCTTCTTAATTAATTTATTTTTAAAATTAATTATATAACTAATGATAAGGACTAAAAAATTATTAGAAAATATCTGAGATTTTAAAATATAACAATTTTCAATCATATTCAAATGAATCATCAGCAATGGTTACTTTCTCAAGAAGATAATCGTAAAAAGAGTTATTGCGTATAAAAAATCACCTGGAATAATATATTTATTAGAAAACTTTTTATTAATATTATAATTAGAAAGTAATTTAATTAAAATAAAATTAATTAAAATTATAATTTTATTAATAAATCAAGTTGTTAATTGAACGATCGATTAAAAAAACTGGTTATACTGTAAGGGTATATTCGAAATTTTTTTTTACAAGAAAATAAAAAAAATAAAAAAATAAAGATAATATAAATTAAAAAATATTATTATTTGTTGAATAAAAAAATAATATATGTAAAAAGAAAATATTTATTTTTAAAAATAATAAATAATTAAATTAAAATTAAATATTTATTTAAATATAAAATTATTTATATAATTATTTTAATATATGATTATAAAATAATTTTATTATAAATTTTTTAAAAATTAATAAAATAATATTATGATATAAATAAATAATATTTTAAATTAATTATTTAATTTTATGATATTTTATATTTATAAAATTTATTAAAATAATAATTATATATATATTACAATTTTAAAAGTATAAATAAATATTTATTTATTTAAGTCAAGATAATTTTATTAAATAATATTTTATTTATATTTTTTCATTAATAAATGAAAAGTAAATATTTACAATTATAATAAAAAGTGATAGTTTTTAATTTGAAATAAAAAAATTATTTCTTTCCTATATTAATAACTTCATAATTTCTCTTCCTCCTCAAACTCTTGTTTACTTCTAATAATCTACTGTTAATGAAAAAAAAATTAAGAAAGATATATGGGGTCTACATTTATCATGTCACCGACAAAATAAAAAAAGATTTGAATGAAAAGTCAGTAGGTTAAAATTACTCTATTTTCATTAAAAATTATCCATAATAAATTCTGAAAGATTATGTGTGAATTTATTTCTTTTTAAATTTAATAAAATAATTATTTTAATAATTATTTTATTGATCTAATTTTAAAATAATATTATATCAAAATTATTAAGAATATATTTTTATAATATTATTATTTTATATATATAATATTATTATTTTATATTTATAATATTATTCAAAAAAAATGTTAATAATTAGATGAAATAAGTGAAATAAAAATATTTAAGTATACCATTTTTTAAAAATTATATAATAAATTGACCATTTTTAATAAATACAATTTGTAAGAGGATTGAGATTAATAATTAATTTTTATAAAAAATAATGGTCTATGATATCTATATCTTTATATTGACAAATCATTTATAATTTTACACATTTTTTTATTTTTTAATTAATAAACAATTCTTATTTTTTGATTTTTTTTATTATTTTTAGTTATTTATATCTATTTTTATATAATATGTATATATATATTATTACTTACTAACTAATTATATTTAATTTTAATTTAATTATAAATTATAATTTTTCAATATAATTTTAAAAACAAAATATTCTTATCATTAAATATATAATTTTAATTAATTAATTTCTTTTAATAATTTCAACTACTCAATTATATGAGTAATAGATTATATTAAAAAAGTATTATTATTATATTAAAAATAATATTATATTTATTATGTAAAAATTAATATTGAAACATAATCTTTTTATTTCTAATAAAATTTAAAATATATTTAAATAAATTTAATTTATTTAAATTATTAATATTATAATGTACATTTTTACTAAAATTTAATTTTTTTAGCAATGTAACTTATTTTTATTATGATATTTTTTATTATATTTTTTTAATTAATAAAATGATACATGATTATAATTAATTATCTAAATAATTTAAAATTTATTTTCCAATAATTTTCCACAGAATATTCTTAAAAAAATTTAGAATACTTTTAAATTTTTATAATTATAAAAAATAAATTTTAAATTTTTCTAAATATCACAAATTATTTTTATAATTTAAATATAAAATAATTCTAATATATTTAAATTTTTATTTGTAATTTAAATTAATTAATTTATATTAAAATATATCACATTCTAATTTACCCTTATTTTATATTTTATTAATAAAAAATATTTTGATTATTATATATTTTAAATTATTATTTTAATTTTTTTTATTCAATTCTATCAATTATATCTTCTTTAAATTTTTTTACTATTTTTTTTTCTCTCCATTTAAACAACTTCACTTTCAGTCCCTTAATCCAAAGTAAGAAAAATAGTAAAAGTGATGGTAAAGACATTGATATGATTGGAGATGGAAAAAGCATTATTACAAATGCAACCATTCTTGTCAGAAGGTATTTAAAGCTCTTATTATAAACAACAATCCTACATAATAATTTTATATTAACCCATCTGCTTGCTAGAATGAAGTTTTTGCAAATCACCGATGAGTAAACTTTTTTTTTTTTATTGAAAATATATATTCTGAGCAGACAAAAAATCATGTGTACATAGACAAATCAATGGGACTCGGTTGGCACCGCCCAAAAATTCAATTCTATCTTTTATATATATATATTGATTAATTTTAAAAAATTAAACAAAAAATATTTTAAAATTTTTTTTTTCAGTTTTTTATAATTTTTCTTTTAGATTTTTATCTTTTTTTCTATTTTTATAATTTTTTACACTATTTTTTTTATCTGTTTTTATTTTGTTGTGGAAAACGTGTTTTGTTTTGGAGGATGATATGTTCACGTTCTCCTCGCAAACATTCATTTTAACACCAAATTATTTGAATAATTGCTCACAAAATTGAATGTTTTTTTCTTTATTTTTCCTTCGTCTTTGTTTCCTACATTATAAATTCAGGGCTCATATCCAAGACTGAGCAAAAGTTTACAACACAAGTAAGGATGATATCAATCATGTCCAAGCAAAGGTATGCTTTTCAGTATTCCTTACATTGCCTTACTATTTGGTACAGCACAAGTATAACTGCACCTTCTTATGCCAGGTGAAGATCCAAACAAATTGTCAATAAATTTGTGTGATGTTTTTTAGGTTGCAGGGTAAGGTGGCTATCGTCACTGGTGGAGCCACCGGAATAGGAGCAGAGACGGTGAGGATATTCTTAGAAAACGGAGCATCAGTGGTCATGGCAGACGTCAAGGACGAACTAGGTCACAGCTTCGCAGCTTCATTTAGCTCAGAGAAAGTGAGTTACCGCCACTGTGATGTGAGAAACGAGAAGCACGTTGAGGAAACAGTAGCTTTCGCGGTGGAGAAATATGGGAGCTTAGACATCATGTTCAGCAACGCTGGCATCGCGGGTCCTCTGTCAAGCATTCTAGCCTTCGATCTCAACAAATTTGACAACACCATAGCCGTGAATCTTCGCGGTGCAGCAGCATTCATCAAGCACGCGGCGCGTGTCATGGTGGCGAGGAAGACACGTGGATCCATAATCTGCACGGCGAGCGTGGCTGGATCGTTCGGCGGATGCGCAGGTCATGATTACACGGCATCCAAACATGGCCTTATTGGGCTTGTTCGGTCGACGTGTAGCGAGCTCGGAGGTTATGGCATACGAGTGAATTCCATTTCGCCTTATGCAGTTGCCACGCCTCTTACCTGTGAAGCTTTGGATATGGAGGATGGTGAAGTTGAAGCTGCAGGGCATGCGTTAGCGAATCTGCATGGAATTACGTTGAAGGGTTGTCATATTGCAGAAGTTGCTCTGTTTCTTGCTTCTGAAGAATCGGCTTATATCAGTGGGCATAACTTGGTCGTCGATGGAGGTTTCTCCGTCGTTAATCGAGGTCTTCCATCTATTAAAAATTAAATTACGATGTAAAACAGAAAAAAACAAATGAAGAAAATAATGGTACTTCTTGTGGGGTTTCTGCAGCAACACACAGGCTTACCTTTAGCTATCACAATTAAATTAAATCCGAATATGTGGATTCCTCCGGACTGGGGAAAATCCGAGTTTACAAAATACGGGATAAGTTCGGATTTTGTAGATAAGTTGAATAATGTAATTGTGATTTTTATTTTATATTTTAATTTTAATTTTAAAATATTAATATTTTAAAAATATTTTTTTATTATTGAATACAAAGTGATTTTTAAAAAAAAATATTTTACATAAATTTAAATAACTAATATTATTTTATTTATAATTTTTATTTATTAGATTTTATTATATTAAATTTTTTTAATTTTATTATTTTTATTTATTATATATTAAATTTTATTTTAATAAAATAATTATATTTTAAAAGATTAAAAGAATTAATAATTTTAATTTTAATTACTTTAAATTAATTGGATAAAAATTAATTAATAAATATTTTCTTATAAATTATATATTTCATATTTTAAATACAAATTTAAAAATAAATTAACTATGTAATCAAATATATTTAATATCAAATATTTGAATATAGTATTATAACAAGTATTTAAATATTTAATATAATATAATAATAATAATATTATTATTATTATAAAATATTTTATATTTATATAATTATATATATATATATATATTAATATAAATATAATAAATTAAAATATATATTTAATTAATAATAATTATAAATATTTATTTATGTATAAAAAATATATAAAAATAATAAAAATAATATTTTTAAATATAATTTTTTTAAGTAAAATAAATGAAGGATGATACGGGGAAAAAAATTTAAAATTCTGAAGACTTAATTTCTATCCTAATTTTACAAAGATCGAAAATATAAACCATTAAGAAGTGAAAGATGAAAATGGGAAAGTAAAAGTATGTCTACTTACCTATGTCTTGCACAACCAAAATAATAGAGAAATTGAGTGGACGAGAAGAAATAGATATCACATCAATTTTCAAATGTTTGGTAAGAAAAAATATCTTTTTGAAATACATTTTAAAATAAATATATGGAAAGAAATTAAACTTGGTGACTATAAGCATAATTATATTAAGAAAGTTAGAAGTGAAACTAGTCTGATTGTTTCTCTTTAAATATTAATATATTTATAGAAAATTAATTAATTAAAAAATATTTAAATAAAAAAATTAAAATATATTTTGAAAATTTAAATTTTCTTAATAAAATTAGTTTTTTTAAATATATTTATATATTCAATCATAAAATAAAAAATAAAATTTTATTATTATTATTAATTTTTAGTAATTTATTAATTAAAAATAATAATTAATCTTAATTATAAAATATTAGAATAAATGATTATTAAAGATTTATTTTGATATTTAAATTTAGAATAAATAAATAATGGTTAAATTAATTTGAGTTCAAAGAAAGAGAAATGAAAAACTTTCTTCGCAAAATTTAAAAGATTATATTTTTATATTTTTGCCAAATTTATCATAAATTTATTATTCAAAATTAAAAAGTATACATATTTTATCATTTTTTTCAATTCACTGTTAAATTTTTACGTGACTAATATGTGTTGTCTTCTAATCCAAAACAATACGTATTATATTTTACACGTCTTATCACTAGATTTTACAATTTTATATTAAAGTTTCAATATTATGATTTGTATTATTACATTTTTAAATTTTATGAATAAGTTTGAGAAAAATTGAATTATTAAAGTAGTAAAACGTAAAAATATAATAATTATTAAAATTTGAATTCAAAGTCGTCCCATAGATTACCTCACACATTTTTAGTAATTTGACAATCAATTGATGGAAAGTTAATATATATATATATATATATATATATATATATATATGTATATATATATATGTATATATATATATATATGTATATATATATATATATGTATATATATATATATATATATATAATTTAAAAATTCAAATAATAAAATTCAAGAAGTTTAAAAATTAATGATAAAAATGATAAAATATATTCAATTCAAATTTAAATGAATATATAAATTTTGATAATTCATTGAAAATGTTGATTTTTTAACATGTTGCATTAAATTAATCGTTAAGTGTCAAAACGGTTTTTAAAATAAATTTAATAACTTTATTTATCTAAAATTTCAAAATATTTAAATACATAATTTAACTGGCCCAACAGGCTTAAGCTCTTAAGCCCAAATTACTTGTAGGATATATATATATATATATATATATATATATAATATAATTCATTCAATTAAAAAAAAAACATAAATTATACACATCAACTCTTCCAATCCAACCGGTTGAGTTTATGCTATATTTTACGATTTTGAAACTCTTTTTAAGTTCTACACCCACGTCAGAAATTTGTTTCGTTCAAATTGAAATACCAAAAATGGAAAATCCAACACCAAATGTGGCTTAAACCTGGTAACTTTTTGTCACGGTTCAGCCCAAACAACCCCAACTAATCCCTTACGAAAATTCAAAAACCAAACCCAAGAGACGTGATGCTTGTTACTTCCACATAACGCCATTCCTGATACCATGTTCTTCATTGGCCCCTCCACATTCATTAATTACCATAAATAATGTTATTAAACAACATTAAGCTTATAAATTTGGCAACTACATGTGTGCATATCTTAGTTTCTTGTTTTCATAATACTTCTTAAAAGCAATCAATCATAAAGAAATATAACTATTCTGACCAGTTATTGGAGCTTAAAGTTTAGTCAAGTAGTATTATTCTACATTAATTAATTATTAATCCGCTTGTATTTTATACACAGATGTCTCACAACAAAACTATATACCCCATTACATATTTCTTTCTTTTTCACATTCTTTTTAATACAATTTCTTAAATCTGGATTACATGTTGATATTCCGTGCTTAAAACGTCTCTAAATTGGTTTATTTGAAAGAGGGAATATCAAATTTTCTATAATTGTATGGTTGCATAAAAAAAGCAAACAACAGTGTAGCTTGTAAGAGTTGGAATGCTTGACCTTTCAACTGTACATTAAAAGCATATGATGAAGGCCATGTGATTCGAAACAGAGTGTATTGAATTTTAAATGCTGTATACACCTAGTTGGAGACGTGGAATTCACCTAAATAATGAATGCATAATCAAATTTCTTCAGCCACAGATCACGTATATTTATTTAATTTTGTATAATAAATGCATTACGCCACATAAGAATAAAAAGAAACAAACTCAAGAAATGAAATAAAGATGATTATGCCAGATTCAAGAGTTACTACAAGAAATATTTGATTAACGACATTTTCAATATATAAGACCAATAAGACTAGTTGTTATTAGTATTTAATCATGATTTGACCATTATAATGAACCTTGAGACAGTTAGTTAGCGTCATATATCTTTGCACTTTACAAACCTTATAAATATAGGTTATATATTATTATGGGTCACTCCAAGAGCTTTATTTTCAGGTTTTGTCGGGGAGTGTTCATCGTCAAAACAAGGAACTCACTCATTCATTCATTCATTCACTCACTCACTCAGTCACTCACTCACTAATCACTTTCAATGCCGAAACAAAGGTCCTCCTCCAAGTTAGATCTACCTATTATGCACCTTCTTTCATAATTGTTTCGTTTTGTGTGTGTGTGTCATGTCATATCGTAGTTTTATGGTATTTTTAGTTCATTCAGATTCATACTTTGATGATGAACTTTGATTAGTTGACTTAACATTTTTTATATGACTATTAATGTGTTCTAGGTTGGAGGGTAAGGTGGCTCTTATCACCGGGGCAGCAAGTGGTATTGGAGAAGAGACAGTGAGATTGTTCGCGGAACATGGAGCAGTTATTGTTGCAGCAGATATTCAAGATGAGCAAGGTCAACGACTTGCTGCTTCAATAGGTTCAGATAGAGTGACTTATCACCATTGCGATGTGAGAGATGAAAACCAAGTTGAAGAAACCGTCAATTTCACTTTGGAAAAACATGGTCGCATGGATATTTTGTTCAGTAACGCAGGAATAATAGGTTCTCTATCTGGGATCCTTGACCTTGATCTGAATGAGTTTGACAACACCATGGCCACAAATGTTCGCGGTGTAGCCGCCACAATTAAACACTCAGCACGTGCCATGGTTGCCAAAAGCATCCGTGGATCCATCATATGCACCACCAGTGTGGCTGCCACAGTTGGTGGAACGGGTCCTCATGCTTATACCACATCAAAACATGCTCTTATGGGGTTGATGAAATCAGCTTGTAGTGAACTTGGAGCATATGGAATAAGAGTTAACAGCATATCCCCTTTTGGAGTAGCCACACCTCTTGCATGCAAGGCTTTCAACTTTGAACCTGAGCAAGTTGAAGCTAATAGCTGCTCACAGGCTAATCTCAAGGGTGTGGTATTGAAGGCTAAACATGTAGCAGAAGCAGCCTTGTTTCTTGCTTCTGATGAAGCAATTTACATCAGTGGTCACAACTTGGCGGTGGATGGTGGCTTCTCTGTGGTTAATAGAAGTTATACTTTCACACCTGTTAACATGTAGACCCAAAAGACTAGTTTTGGGGCAGATTGGCATCATTTTCCTTATCCTTCAACTTGACAACATGATGTCATGCGCTGCATCAGATTACCTTGTTACCGGGACTTTTCAATTCTGCAGTGTCTCTCCTTTTGTTTGTATGTTTTTGAAAGCATAAATTCATCAACCTTGTCTGCTTGTCACTCAAAAGCCTGTTTGCTTTCTATGTACTTTTCCTTATCTTGGGATGTGTCGCATAATATAAAGTCAAGGATAGTTAATTTGCTGACTTTTCCCTGGTCTAATAAACTAAGAACGGCAACCCTTTTTGTTAAATTGCAAATTCAGTTCTCCATTTCTTTTGCTGAGTGGCTTGGACAAAGCTCCCATACCAACAAATTATTCATTAAAATCTGGTGGTAAACTTATACTCCAATAACATGGTTCAGAGCAAATATAAGAATAGCAGAAAAATCACAATAATCAATCCAAACATGTTCTCCATATATTAAAAATGTATCAATCCACATATATTAAAATACTTGAAAAGTATTTCTGTTAAAAAAATAGTTTAGAAGTTGAAATGCTACTAGTAGGAACCACTGTAACTGCAACAGGTATGTTATATAGTAATTCATTATTTTGTACCCATTTTTTCTCTAAGATGCGGCGAAATTGTCGGCCACTAAGGGCTAATTAATCTACAGGTTTGATTCCACCCTCGATATTTGCAATTTCAAAGATTCAATTTTCTTGGCAGCTACCAACTCAGATGGTTCAATTCTAATTCACATACATTTCTAATTGTCTAAAAAAAAAAAGCACGTGTAATGCGTCATCTATCTAAAAAAAAACAATATATACAGTGCAAAAGCATTGGAAACTAATTACAGGAAAGACAAACATACATGTATTGGTATAATAATTATTCACTCTTTGTTCCGTTTATTTTGGCTTTGCCATTTTATTTTAATTTGAGTGTTTGCATATTTCAATTTCACCTTATAAGCATATTTTCACAAACACATGATGAAAAGTTGCAGGTGAAGGGAGAGAGACTTTGTGTATAATCCAATTAATCAGTTTGTCCTTTGTCAACCCTGCAACCGCGGGATGAAACACGTGAACTTTTAATAAATGTAGTACATTTTCTTCCACAACAATTAGGGTAAGTAACCCTAGCTAAAAGTTCATCAGAATCACAAATCTAATGGCAATTCATCCAAATACATTGTTAGAAGAAAAAAAAATATAATAACCACTACAACTAGTAAAGGCCACGACTGCAATATGTTGAAGAAGTGATGATATACATTTATTCAGAAACAAGATTAATGATTGGTGTGGATAACTTTTGCATGCATTGTCATCAGCTAGCTAGAAACTAACCTAATTAATTTTTTATATACATGAAGAGAATATAACAGCTAGCTGAGGAATATTATTGAAGTCAACCAATTGAAAATCAGAAAAAAAAAAGTATTATTTCAAGCCTCCTGGTGACACTTCGACTTATGTAAAACCACATATTTCTTAGATTGGCTAGTTGATCTGTATGTACAAATAATATAATAAATAAATAATACTATTCTATATATGTTTTATTCTTTCTCATTTATACTTTACCATGTTGTTCATTTTCACTTGCATTGTAAATAGTTAAAAATTTGGTAGTTTTATAAAGTGGTTTCGGCCTAATTCAATTTCATAAAACAACTTTCAGAATAAGGATCGACCTACTTACGCAGCACTGAACAAATCGAAGTGGTAGTAAATAAGGATATAATTGAACAATTAATTAATATTAATTTGAACTTTGAAAATGAAAAATAATTAGATATAAATTTTTCAACTCTTACAAAAGAACTATAAAGGTTTCAGACTTGAGCTCAATTCTTTTATATAACTTAAGTATCATAACAAATAATTGATTTTTTTTTCACTCAGATATATTCCTATTATATTAGAATTTGTAAATAAATTTATTAAAAAGTCTCTTATATAAATTTTAATAATAAAAAGTTAAATTTATTTATAACTCTTGTCCTTACCTTGAGAATATTTTTGGAATATAACGTTTAAATAAGAGAGATTGAATTCAAATTTAGTAATATTTCATTCCTTTTTAGTCTGTCTAAAATTCCTAGTCCAACAATTATGTTTAGTATGAAGAGGAAAAACATTGATTTGCATGGAATCAGCTCCTCTTCCTTTGTTGCACAAAATGTAAATACAGAACGGGCTTATGGTCTCGATATTGTAATAGCTAAAGGAGATCTAACATAATAAGCCCAAACTCACTTGGGCGACCAATTGCTTCAGCCCAAGTTATGAGATGAGTTACAATTTCAACGCTCTTTTTCCCTTTGAAATCCGCGTTCCAAACTTTTTTGTCTTGTCCAAATTGCAGTATCCACATTTGGAATTCCACACCAAATGTGTCTCAAAGTTTAACCTTTTGTCAAAGTTCAGTGCCAAAGATCCAAACCTGACATTCAAAGTTAAACTACCAGTCCCATATGAAAATTCAGAGCTCACACCAAACATCTATGTTTGCTTGTTGCTTAATGTGGCAAGTTTCCAAAGCCTTTGTTGCTCTACCCTGCATAGAAGAGCTGCATGGTTGGTGGTTAATTAATTAACTGACTAACTGGCAACAACAACAATCATCATGGCGTTGGAGACAGAATGGTATGATTTCGTGTGTTTTGGCATAGTTGGTGTGGCCTTTTTAGGGGCCTTGTTGATGCTGGGAATGAACGAAGGGGCTTCCCAAAGGGACTTTGAGACCACCTATGAGAGCCTTCTGTTGTCTCGACCTGACGATGAAGTGGTCGTGGATGTTCTGCCCAGAGATCACGTCAGCACCTCACAGCTCTGGACAAGCTGTTGGCGAGGGCTGCACCCCTTTTGGCTCCTTTGTACCCGTTTCCTTTCCTTTGTGATCATGCTCCTTTTCTTGCTCTGGGATGTTCTACTCTACGATGCAAAAATCTTTGTTTACTACACTGAGTATGTTCTTCTCTTCGTATCTTTGCTATCCTTTTTTTGCCAAACTTACCCTATTTTTTTTTATACAATCCAATTCTTGAGATGGTTAGACACTAAATATGTATTTCTCTCTTTATAAAATCTTCAAACTTTGATTTAAGAGGTTGTGAAGAACTAACTTCATCAGTTAGACATAACCCTCGTTGGTCAACTTTTACTCTCTACTTGTACAAATTTTATTGTTTGCCCCAACACTCGATGTATTTATTCTTTTCACTACAAAACTCTGGAAGGAATTGAATAGCTTGTCAATTGTAGTGCTTTTATAGGATTCTTATAATTTATAGCATTTATTTGCAGGTGGACTTTCACATTGGTTATTGTATATTTTGCGGTATGACAATCCCATCTGTTTTAAATCCATTATCGTAAATATACTTTTTGTTTTGTTCTCTGGTCAGAATAATAGTTTTACTTTATTATAGAGGTGAAAAATTCACTATGATTAGAGAAGAACACCAAAAGCACTTGAGCCATTGCATACAAGTTTTGTTGTTTTCATTGCCTCCTACATTGAGTTTATTACTTCTTTGGAACTCTGAATGCAGTTGGGAACCGTTGCATCTGCTTATGGATGCTGGAAGTTCTTCAATAAAACTCACATTCACAATGGAGCAAAGGACGAGTTTCTGAGCAGGGATGTGGAAGAGACAATGCCTACAAACATAAATGCCTACCAAGAGAAAGAAGCCAAGGGTTCCATCAAGTTGGAAAGCCGATATATTGAAGAGGAGTTTCAACAAAGAGCAGGATTTTGGGGTTACCTCATGCAAACTACATATCAGGTCAATCAGACACATCGAATTCAATGTTTCATCTGGAAAATTACAATGAAAAATGTCACTACGTGCTGTTCTAGTATTGATTAACTGATATGCTAGATGGTCAATGAACATGCCCCCTATTTACTGTTCCTATTAGCAACAGCTTTCAATATGTTGATTTTATCTGTGTTTGGGTTTGAGCCAAATTATAAATGTGAGACAATAGCTTTAAGCCACAGGAAACATTGACCACTTGGCCTAGCTTTTACAGCTTATAACCATTCACAAACCTAGTACGAAGATTTTTTATTTTTTTTTTCTTGTTCCTTTATTTTTCTAATTTGTCGACAGTATTCAGATTGAATTGATATGCTGCATTTAACAGACATGTGCAGGGGCTGCCATCCTAACAGACGTTCTATTTTGGGGTGTTATAGTTCCCTTCTTATCAATTTCTCATCTAAGACTAAGCCCGGTTAGTGGAACTAGTTTTTGTTACTACTACATATTTCTCCTTTCATTCACTGTGCTTCTGCATACAAGCACTAGAATTCCTCTGACTAAAGATTATTTTACAACTTCCTTCTCGTACTCTAGTTTGATTGAATAGACAAGTCATACAATGATTTCATCTAGTGTACATTATTCTCACAAAAAACTTTGTTAATTCTGTCTATACTGCTAATTGTATAATAATTTATCTGTGTAAGAAAGAGACTCTAACTGATTTTTACTGGCTTGAACTTTACAGTTGATGGGATGCATGCATACATTGAATGCATTTTTCCTCCTTTTGGACACAGCTCTTAATAATCTCGTAAGTGTCATTCACCCTTGAACAAATTAAAAAAAAAAAACAAAATTTAGATAAGTACTTTTAGTTTTTGTTTCTATTCACCTAATCTTTAATGTAAACCTTTATTATAGAAATGACTTGGGTGAAACTATGAATGAAAATACCAAAAATAATTACAGAAACTACATCCAAGTTTTCTCCTAATTTAGTTAAGCACTGATTTAAAAGCACTTACCCATCTCACGGTTGTGACATTGATGCATTCATTGGCAGCCATTTCCTTGGTTTAGAGTCTCCTATTTTGTTCTGTGGAGCTGTGGTTACGTCATTTTTCAATGGGTCATCCACGCCTTTGGTTTTACATGGTACCATAAGTATAATATCCTCTTTTCTATTGTTAGCACAAGGATTCTTTCACATAGTTGTAAGCATGTGTTTTTGTTCCCTAACAGGTGGCCATATCCCTTTCTCGAGCTTGATAACAAGTGGGCTCCTATCTGGTGGGTCATGTATACAATTACTACTCTCAAATAATCTTTATGTGATGGATCAAGATCATTTGAATCATGTACTAATTTCTCTGTGTTAAAATGGTTTCACTGATTAATCTATGTACATGCAGGTATTTGTGCCTGGCAGTAATTCATGTCCCTTGCTATGGCGTGTATTACCTCATGGTGAGAGGGAAAAATGCCATTCTTCGCAGATTCTTCCCTCGAGCATTTTTAAGGTCAAATTAGTTTCATTGTCTAAGGAAGTTCCGTAAAAACTAGGAAGGACATGTTTGTTGCTGATACGTATATTTTAAGATACAGAATGTAGGCTCTTGTAAGCAAAATAAATTAACCATGCAATTAAGTACTAATAACATTTATAATGAGAGCTATTTCTTGAAATGCATAAGAAAAACATTAGTTGCTTGAAACAATATTCAATTAGATAAATATTATATGACATAGAAGTTACTTAAAAAAAATTGTGAGCATCTCCAAAAGGTAGTTGTGAGTTGCTTAGGAATAAAAATGAATGTTTTATTATAAGTTACACTTTTAAGTCGTTTAAAATTAGAGAAAGTTGCTTACATAAGCAACTCTGACCAATTTTTAAGCAACTCATCTATAGGATTCATAATAAAATATTCATTTTTATTCCTAAACAATTTTGTCTAAGAACTCCCTTTGGAGATGCCTGATGAATGAAATCTTGTTGCCTAGATCTCATAAAAAATTGCAATGAAATTAATGTAGTGCTAGGACTGACTTAGGTCATGTATTCAAGAGGAGAATTGATCTCATCAAACACATCAGTAGTTCTTCCATGTACCGTCGACCAATGAGATATGAGTTTAACCCACATAAGGATTGATACCACTCTCAACCCAAAATCTTAAGGCATTGAGTTATGGGTTTTTATTTCTTATATTTTCATTCTTACATAATGTGGAATCTTCCATATACTGTCGTTCATCCTAACAGGACCCAAAATCTTAAGACATTGAGTTATGAGTCTTTATTCCTTATATTTTCATTCTTACATAATGTGGGACCTTCCATGTACTATCGTTCACCCTAACAGGGCACGCTTACTTGACTCACTCTATCAGGATACCGTCGTCCCCCCTAACAAGACCCAAAGACATTGACGGTCCCCCCTAACAGGACCCAAAATCTTAAGATATTGGGTTATGGGTCTTTATTGATACCACTTGTTGGGTTTGTTGGGTCTTTCGAGGGGATTCACAAGGGAGAAACATACGAATAAGACATGAGTTCAACCCACATAAGGATTGATACCACTCTCAATCCAAAATCTTAAGACATTAGGTTATGGGTCATATTTTCTTATATATTGCTCAAATTTCTCATTCTTAGAATCACACTTAGATTACTCAACTCAGTTTTGCTTAAATCTTGATTTTCTAAAGTCAAATGCTAGAAGTGAGGGGGGTTTTAAGATTTTTATTCAAGAAAGAAGAAATGAAAAGCAGTAAACTAATAGACTAATGAAAAATAGTAAACTATGCTACTAAAAACAGTAAATGAAAGCATTTAAATGAGAGGGATAAATCTAAACTATGAAAGCAATTAAGAAAACAGTAAAGAAATGCAGTAAAACTATCTAAAAAAGACTTGTAAATGAAATCGAAATGAGAACATATTTGAAATGAAAATTAAATTGTGATCGAATAAAAACTAAGAAGAATTTTGGTAGAAAAATCCTTGATTCTCTAATTATAAGTTTGATTTTATGATTATCATTTATTTTTAAAATTTGTCTTGTAAATTACAAAAGTCAATTCACAACAAGTCAAAACAATTACAATCCAATTGAAATTCGTAAACATAATTCAATTTATAAATAAAACAATCACTTAAACTTAGAAACTAAATTATGTTGTAAATGAGATATTCAATTAAATAACTTTAATCACAGTAAACGTAATTGATTTTAATTGGTTAGAATTGTTAATAACCAAATTTAAATCATAGAAAATGAGTTTTGATCGATAATCAACAATAAAAACAAATTAGAACATGATTATGGGATGAAAAACTAGAAAAAACAAGAAAACAAAGTAAAAGAAATTGCACAAAGATAAAAGAAAAAGATGAAACAAAAATGAAAGCGAAAAAATAAAAGGAACTAAACAACAATAATAAAAAACAACTTAAATGGATAAGTTTCAAAGCATTATTCGTAGAAGAGTTCTATAAGCAGACTTATAACAAAAAGAGGAAAATTAGAGTGAATCTAAACTTGAACAGACTTATAACAAAAAGAAGAAAACTAGAGTGAATATAAACTTTAACTGAGTTGCACTTAAACTTGAAAACTTATTTTTTTTGGCCTGCTTACACTTATTTATACAACAAATCTACTGAAAAGAACAATTAAGACCCTTAATTACATAATTGATGTTCAAACGATAGTTTGTGATTAATTTACTCAATGATTTGCTAAGCGGAATTTACAATTAAATAAGTTATAAAAAATCGACACATTTCATTCTATGGTTGTACATTTGATCACTTGATAGTCTCGATTTCAAAATGAGTTATTGAGAAATGTCTTTGATTAAATATCGAGAGTACTTCGATTAGATATTGAGGATTATATTCAGTGTGCGATTCCGTTTTATGGACTTTTGAATAAGTTTCAATGAAATAAATTTCTTCTTGATTTTGATAAAATCAATAGTATCTTTATTTTATTTTTTTCTAACAACCTTTGATTTTACTTTTATAATTTTTTTTATTTATATTTTTACAAAAATAAATAAATAATTAGTTAAAATATTCAATTTAGACAATAAATTAGATTCAAAGATTTTTTTTTTACAAAAATTAAATTAAATTTTAATAATTAATTAAATATATATAAAATACTTTAATAAAATGACTGATAAAATATGTTCATCAATGCATTATACCATCCAACAACTTCCAAAAATAATAGATGAAAATGAGAGAATGAGATTTTTAAAATTTATTAAAAAAAATTATAAAAACAAAATTAACTATGAATTATTTAAATATAATATCATATTATCTTACACATTTTTAAAATAAAAAGCAATTCATGGGTATTATTTATACTTTAAAAAATATAAAATAAAAAATTATTATGGCATATTATTCTTAAGATTCATAATTTTATTTCATTAATTTTTTTAAATAAATTTTAAAATATGTATTTTGTCTTTTCATTTATTTTGTTTTATGTTGTTTGATAAAACACTATCAAAATTTTTAACAAACTTATCATTTAAGATTATTTTAATAAAACATTACTTCAAACAATTATTATGTTAATTAAATATTTAAAAAAAGTACTTTTTACTAGAAGTACGCATATTAATAAATTTATGGGTAAAATTGTCTGTCTAAATTGGATTGATGTCCGAAATTTTTAAAATAGAATCCTAATACACAAACCATTAATATTATTTTTTCCATTAAAACTAGTTCTCATAAAATAAGGTTTGTTCAAATGTTATTAGGGATGATAAAACAAGTCAGGTTTGGCGGTCGGTCCACTGACCCCCATAATATGGCGGAGCGGGTTGGTGTTTTCAGCTCACTGACCCGCTTTGGCTCGCCTCATCAAGTCCGCTAAACCATTGGGTCAACCCATGGTCCGCCTAATTAATAAAAAATTAAATTTTTATTGTAATAAAATTAATTATAAAGATAATATATAAAGTTAAAATTTTTAAAAAGAGAATTAAAAAAATTTCACTCTCACACAAAATATTCTCCTTATTGAAACACAACATTCTCTCATGTTCTCCTTGTTCATCCTATGCACTATTATTTTTATCCTTATGACTTGAATTAAAGGTGTAAGAATTACACAACCAAGAATAATGTGAAGTTTTATCAAATAAAAAATATATAGGTATTTGAATTTTTTAATATAAAAAATATAAATTTTATAAGTTTAAACGTTATTTATATATATATATATATTTGTTATTATTTATTATTATGTAAATTTTATTATTGTTCTAAATTATAATTTCTTAAAATAATGTATTTATTTATATTATTAAATTGAAATAATATATATATATATATATTGAATTATTGACAAATAAATAATAATCTTATTATTAAATTTATCAAAAAAATTATTTAAAAAAATAAATTATTTTTTTCAAAATTATGGCGGTCAGCCCATCCCTTGGTGGGACGGGCCAAGGTCTACGACCCGTCATGACTATAACGGCCAGCCCGCCCGTCCCGCTTTTGGTGGGTCAAGGCGGGACTGGCCAAACCGGGTTGGCTGGCCCGTTTTGTCATCCCTAAATGTTATACATTAAAAAAAAAAAAATATATATATATATATATATATATATATATATATATATATATATATAAGAGATTATATTTATAGGAAAAAAATAGGTATTTTAATAAAGGTGCTTGAATTGAAAAACATAGAATTCATTCTATAATTTTATTCATATTATTTTTGTACACGAGATATTATGATCTTATAGTATTTTACTCCAACAAATCAGGATTAAATAAAGGAAGTTCTGATTATACAATATTTTGTACCGTTATACAAGTCTATAATTTAGTTAATCAAATATTTTTATCTCAACACTTCCCTCAAGTTGGTAAATGAATGTCATACATTCTCAACTTGTCCAATAATCTCCTAAAAATATGACTTGTCACAGCTTTGGTAAGAATATCTGTCAACTGATCTTCAGATTGAATATTTGACAATTCCATAATATTTTTATCAAGCTTTTCCTTGATGAAAAATCTATCAACCTCCACATGTTTCATCTGATCATGTTGGACAGGATTGTGAGCAATGTTGCGCGCAACTTTATTATTACAATACAACTGAATGAGACGTGTATGTGTATACCCTAAATCGTGGAGAAGTAGTCTGAGCCACAAACCTTCACAAAGTCCAAGAATTATTTCTCTAAGTTCAGCTTATGCACTAGATCTAGCTACAACTTTCTGCTTCTTGCTTTTCCATGTGACAAGATTACCTCCTACAAATATAAAGTATCTAGAGGTTGATCTTCTATCATCAAAAGCACTTGCCCAATCTGCATCAGTATAAACCATCACATTCTTGTAGTTGGAGTTCTTCTTGAACATAACTCCTTTTCTAGGAGCAGCTTTTATGTACCTTAAAATCCGTACAATAGCATCCATGTTTTTTTCACCTGGATTGTGTATGAACTGGCTAATCACACTAAGAGCATAAGCTA